TGGTCTTCTGCCATGTGCATAATTGTGAGAGCACCTCAGTAACAAAGTAAATGCTTTCTAGGACCAGGGAATTTATATTTAAAAATTATCTTCATAGCCAGGCTCAGTGGTTCAAGCATGTAATCCTAGCACTTTGGGAGGCCAAGGCAAGAGGATTGCCTGAACCCAGGGGTTCGAGACCAGCCTAGGCAACTTGGTGAGACCTCATCTCTACAATATATCAAAAAATTAGTCAGGCATGGTAGTACACACCTGTAGCTCTGGCTACTTGGAAGGCTGAGGCGGCAGGATCACTGAAGCCCAGCAGGTCGACGCTGGGGTGGCTGTGAGCCTGCCATTACACTCCAGCCTGGGTGTCAGAGTGAGACTCTGACTCAAAAATAAATAAAAAAATAAACATAAATTTTAAAAAATCATCTTCATAAAGCAGACTTTGAAGAACAAAACACTCTTTTTTTTAACTTTTTTTTAAAGATGTGGGGTACAAATCAAGATCGGGTGCATAAGTTGTCTATGTACAGGTGAAGTTTGGACCTCCCATTAGACCTCACTTCATCTGAATTGGGATCAGGCACTCTTAAACGAGCCATGCGGTATTGCTAAGGACATTGTGTTGTTTGTTGACATGTATATCAGATATGAATTAGGAACTTAATTATAAAATGATACTAATCCTCCATAAGTGTTTAAAACAATTTGTATTTATTCATTTTAAAGTTAAATAGAGAAAAACTTTTGTTCTTTTTCAGTGAGCCCAAAGCAATCATTCAAGGCCAAACAATGGAAAATGTGAAAAAATTGTTCTGGTTAGGTACTCAGCTGGTTAGACTTTAAATCTGTGTATTAAGTGTGGGAAAATATAAATTAATTCAACTATTGAATTAAGCACTGTGTTTTTGTTTAATTACGTTTAAGAAACAGTTTAAAACATCAATTGAAAGGTTGGCTCTACTTAATTGATCCATTGTTTTGAAATAACTATTTTCTGGTAGAACCCTATACTCTGGTTGATGGAACCTAATAAATAATAATCTGAAAAAAACAGATTTCATCTTTCAGTGGAAAACATTATCAGTGAAATTTTTATTATAAGACTAAAGCATTTTGGTATTGTCCAACTTTAATGGTTTTAGAGCAACTCTAAATACTATAAAAACACCAGAGAATTTCAGAAGTAGGTAAAACCAATAAGTTGCACCTGTACATAATCTCTTTTTAAACTCAGAATATGGTCATCAGATTGGACTCAGTGTCTCAGCCTGTAATCCCAGCACTTTGGGAGGCTGAAGCGAGTGGATTGCCTGAGCCCACGGGTTCCAGACCAGCCCGGGAAACTTGGCGAGACCTTGTCTCTATAATAAATCAAAAATTAGCCAGACAAGGTAGTGCATGCCTGTAGTTTGGGGCTACTTGGAAGGCTGAGACAGAAGGATCGCTGGAGCCCAGCAGCTCAGTGCTGGGGTGGCCATGAGCATGCCACTGCTCTCCAGCCTGGATGACGGAGTGAGACTCCAACTCAAAAAAAAAAAAGAATATGGTCATCATTTCTCTTCTACCATTGAGCAGAGAATGAGATATAGATATGGTTCAAGAGGAAAGAACATGGTGGTAGGTAACAGGCAGTATAAGTTTGTAGTGCTGGCGTTTGCTGTGGGCAGTTGGAATTAACTGTTGCAAAACACATGATTATTCCAACAATGGTGTCCACTATCAGTGTCTCACCAATTTTGGAGACTAGGTTAATTGAAAATAATGAAACAGTTGTACTCTACTTCATAAATTGTCCTAAACAAGTATATTGTTTATCCTAGTAATAAACCATATGTATGTTTATCCATAAATGTTAGGCACTTTCCAGGGGAGAAAAAGTAACTTCTGGACATGTTCACCAAAATGTACACAGAACAGTTTAAACAGTGAAAGTTGACTTTTCAAACTCCAAACTGTGGTGACATCAGCAGTTACTGAGCTACTGAATAAAGAGGATGGATGCATGTGTGCACTCTCTCATGTTCTCTTGCTCCCACATTTACACAAGTATGAAATTAGTAGATTAAAGACTTCCAGTGTTATTTAATCACTATGAGTTGAAGTCTGCATTACACGTTGGCACTCACAAAATATGTGCTTTGTAATTGCCCTTTGAGCCAAATAAGACACATATTCTTCGGGAGACCCTGGTTTTTTTCTTTCTTGACTTTTTGCTTTAAATAGAAATCACCTTAACCACAGACAAATTGAATAAAAAATAGAAAATAATTGTTAAATTGAATTGAACTGGAAAATAGAAATCAGAGACCTCTCTGAGTTGTGGAAAAGGGGACTCTGGGGCCAGAGGCTAGGTAAGTAGGGGTCCAAGAGAAAGTGACTTTTTCTCCCAGTGAATCAGGGACAGGGCAGAAGCCGTGAGAACTAAATGGCTGCAGAGGGGAAACAAAGCAGCTCAGAGAAAGAGAAGACACCATTAGGGCCTCCACATTCCCCTTAGGTAGAAGATTGAATAGAAACTGAGGAGCTAGGCTTTGTGACTCACACCTGTAATCCCAGCACTTTGGGAGGCTGAGATGAGAGGACTGCCTGAGCCCAGGGGTTCAAGACCAGCCTGTAATCTGGTGAGACCTCGTGCCTACAATAGGTCAAAAAATTAGCTAGGTGCGGTGGCGCATACCTGTAGTTCCAGCTACTTGGAAGGCTGAAGTGGCAGGGTTGCCTGAGGTCAAGGCTGTGGTGGTTGAGTGTGCCACTGCACTCCAGCCTGGGCAACAGAGTGAGACTCACTCTCAAAAAAAAAGAAAGAAAAGAAAAAAGAAAAGGAAAGAAACTGAGGACTCTACGTGACCTAGTTGTTGCTGCCAATGTAAATCAGAAAAAAAGTCAGAGTAGCTTGACTGAGCATCCACCAACATTATGACTGTTGCCCACACAAATTCACAGAACACACTTAAGAATAGTCCCAAGGAAGGAGTTTGTGAAGACATCCTTAAAGCCCAGAAATAATTATATTCTTGACCCCTTAAACTCCCAATTCACATGTGAGTACACATGCTACGTAGAGTAGTTATATACCAAAGATTAAATAGTGGTGTGATTACTTTCTATTCAAAAAAGTTAAAATGTCTTTTTAAAATGGTAATTAAAAGCTAGTAATTTTTTTTTTTTTTTTGAGTTGGAGTCTTACTCTGTTGCCCAGGCTGGAGTGTAGTGGCATGTTCATGGCCACCCCAGCGACAACCTGCTGAGCTCGAGTGACCCTTCTGCCTCAGCCTTTCAAGTAGGCGAAATTACAGGTGCACACTACCACACCCAGCTAATTTTTTGATTTTTATTGTAAAGATGAGGTCTCGCCAAGTTGCTCAGGCTGTCCTCGAGCCACAGGCTCAGGCAATCCACTCACCTCGGCCTCCCAAAGTGCTGGGATTACAGGCTTGAGCTACCACGCCCAGCCAAAAACTAGTAATTTAAATATATATGTAATATTGTCACTCTAACCTCTACTTCTTTCTCCCTCTCTCTCAACTCTAACCACTGACCTCCTCACTATTCCTTGAATTTGTCAGGATAGTGAGAACATGGTGGTTAGAGCCTTTGCCTTGTTTTCCCTGTCTGGAATCTGTTCTCTCCATCTACCTGTAAGTCTAGCTCCCTCCTCTTCTTCAAGTCACCTCCTTGAAGAGGCCTATCCTGACCCCTCTGTTTACTATTGTTTGTAATCACTTCCCCCAGCAACCAGGACTGGCCTGAGCCCGGGAGGCTGAAGCTGTGATCAACTGTATAATAGCGTCACTTCACTCCACCCTCAGTGACAGAGTGAAACCTTGACTCAAAAAAAATTTTTTTTGCCCTTGGGCCAAGAAGAAGCTCCTTCGAAGCTAACAAAAATGAGATGGTCAATTTACTATTATTTCTGTCAAATTTGTTTTTCCAATGACTGTGGACAGATAATGGTTAAAATTCAGGGCTTGTTTGTGTAGGACCCTTCAGAAAAGCCAACGTGGTAGAATTTTTATTTTAATATCCCAACAGATCTGTTCCAGGAAAAGGATGCTAGCACTGAGATGCACATTCCAAGAATCTATGAGATAGCAGAAAACAGTCACCACCTGTCTTAATCCATTTGGGCTGCTGTAACAAAATACCATAGCCTGGGAAGCTTGTAAACAACAGAAATTTATTTCTCATAGTTCTGGATGCTTGAAAGTTCAAGATCTAGCTCTGGCAGATTTGGCATCTGGTGAGGATCTGTTTCCTGCTTCATAAGGGTACCTTCTTGCTATATCCTTATTTGGCAGAAGGAGCAAAGCAACTCTCAGAATCCTCTTTTATAAGGGTACTAATCCCATTCATGAGGGTTCTGGCCTCTTGAACTAATTGCTTCCCGAACCCAGCCCCCCAATATCATCACCCTAGACATTAGGATGTAAACATGCAAATTTTGGGAAGGACGCACATATTCACACCGTAGCACCACCTTAAGCCTTACTGCAGAAGGCTTTTCAGGCCTTCTGTAGCTAGCAGACTCTCTGATCTGAGAGCCATAGATACCATTTTTCTTTGGACTTTAGCCTGCTGTCCCTTTAAAGATGCCACACTTCTGGTCAGGAACACAGCTCATACCTTCTGAAGTCCCAGCCACTAGTAGGCAGAGAAATGGTCCACGTGGCTGCCCCAAACATCTTTCTAAAGTTTAGATCCAAGTAGTGCCCTTCCTTGCTTGAAATCCTACAGTGGTTTTCCCATAGCTTCAAATTCTTTGGCTTAGTACAAAACACCCTTTATGATCTGGTCATTGTCTGGCATTGTCCATAGTCACTGGTGTCCTGTGTGTCTCTCCCAGATATGGCAAACTCCCAGAGGATAGGAATGGTATCTTATTTATTTTAGTATCCTCAGTGGTAGGCCTATGGAGGTTCTCAGTAAGTATCGATTCAGTGATTGGTTGGATGAGTGGAAATGACAATGTTGCTAAGCTCTAATTTGACCATGTTTTTTCTTTCCTCAAGGACTTTGGCATTATGTTCCTGCACCACATTGTATCTGTTTTCTTGCTTACCTTTTCATATGTCAATAATATGGCCCGAGTAGGGACCCTGATCCTTTGTTTGCATGATTCAGCTGATGCTCTTCTAGAGGTAAGAGTTTTCTTTCATCTCTAAGGATACAAAATTCAAAACTCAGAAATTCCCTAAGATCACGTGTTCTCCGATGTTATGCTAGATGGTGCTTGGAGTCAACAGTAAATGACATCTTTGAAACTACAGAGTGTTTCTTTGTAGGTTAAATGGGTAAAAATTAGACTTTAAACGAGTATGTAAGCCTTTATACAAAAACAGCATTCCTTATTAGTAGAATGATGAAAACCTATACTATTCTGCACTAAAGAAATGAGTGATTTTACAAAGGAAAATCCTTATTTGAACAGGTTTTGATTCTTGTTATGTAAGTTTTCACTGAGCTGTACGTCCCAACAAAATTAAGTACTACTCATAGCTTTTATTACTAATATACACATTGTCCTAGTGTTTTTACAGTGAAAAAGATATATTAATTGCAAATTATATGTAGAAATGCTGTTCTGTATATATACAAGTGTAAAGAATGTCTGTAGAAATATTGGTTGTACTTGAATTAACTTTCAAACCATTATAATTTAGAATTCTTAAAGTGGTAAAATTAATTAATTAATTAAAATGCTCTAGGATATTTTAAAAGGTAAAATTCCAAGGAAAATTTGGATGTGGTATTTGCTCTTAGTTATGGCTCTTATGAAGTACAGTCAATAATATTATAATAATTAAAGTCAGTCCTTTCACTTTATACCAAGAAATTTATATAACAGTTAAAAACTAACTTACATGCATACAAATTATGTAGAAATAGGTCTTAAAGTCTGTATTCTGACTTTTTCTTATGCCTTTTGGCCACAATTTTGCCATCTTTGAAGCACTTATTGTTACTGTGAATATAGAATAGACATGCCTTCAAATAACGATCTACTATTGTAACATAAGCAGAAATTCTGTGCCATAAAATGGAATCTACTGTAGAGGCAATTAATTACATCTTGAAGTTTATTCCGTACTTTATTTAAAACTGGTTATGAAACAGAAAAATAGTCCTAATAGGCTACGTAAGTCAAGTGATAATTTGGCACTGTAATTTTTTAAGTAGTTCAAGCTAAACTCTATTCAACATATTTTTTAGAAGGAGAAATATAATTGATAAAAAGACATTCCCCCTGAAATCAGTTACCATTTGGTTAAATCAAGTGTGCTTGGAAGTAGAAATGTATACAACAACCTACAGGTTTGAAATCAATCCTGTACAGCCAGCCAACTTTAATGCCTGTATAGTTACTATGTAGTTGGCATGATGCTTGGTAGTGCTATGATTCAGAAAATGTTTATTGAATTGTTATCTGCCACTTTTATCCAGAAAAGAAAAATAATCCAGAAATTCCAGCTATGTGACTTAAAAACAAATGTTCTTCATCATCTGGATTCTCCTTGACAGTATAAAATAAAAAATGCTCGAGACTATCCAATTAATGAGATATATCAACTGTCAGCTTTTCTAAATGTGATCTGTGGCCTAGACATTTCTAAAGAGTTGGTGTTTAATGCTTATTTATTGAATACTGGTGAATGAATGTGAAAAGAAAAACTACATGGCTTACTAGCCAGAGGAAGGCAGAAGGTGCTTTTTCTTTTAACATAATACATTGTGTGATACCCAAAGTATTTATGAAATTAAAAACTCATAATTCTGGTTTTGACTCAGTTAATAGATATTTCCCCTTAGGAATACATTTCTCTCATAGCTTTGTGCTTTACTTAAAGCTATTAAATTATAGCTTTTGTGGATACTGTCAACAATCTTTTCAAGTTTGACTCAGCTAATTTAACTTTTCAGGAAGTAGAAAATAATTTTATGAATTCAGAAGACATCATCAGTTTGTAACCCTGTGTGTAGGTGCTGTGAATTCCATGTAAAAATGTAAGAATAGATGATCAAGCAAAATTATGTTTTTGGTCTCACCTATTCTTAGAATCATCTGTAAAAAGTAGATGGTAGAGAAAAGGATGTGATTTCTTCCCTAGGCTAATATATAATATAAAAAGTGATCACTTAAATCACTGTCATAAATTATCAGAGTACTTCTCACAGACATTTTGAACATTAGTAACTTTTATCTAGAAAATGACCCATTCATGCAACTTTGAAAATTCAACCTAAGTGGATTAGTTGAATAACATGATGTTGGCACTTACTTCTTTTCTGAGTTTATGAGAATAAGCCAAGAAACTGTCTTCCCAGAGTGCTCCCTGTGCCTGTTTAAAGAAAACCTACAATTCTAAGTAGAAAGGAAGAAAATTACAGAACAGCCCCATAAATTCTGTATAAAGTTTGTGACCTCAGTATCTGAGATTCATTAGCAATTTAAAGGATTATCCAGCACTTTCTCTTTCAACCTGTGATGCCACATTTCTGTTTTGGTGTCTCTGGCTTGCTAATTTTGTCTATAATGCAAGAACTTATTATTTTTCTCTGTTTTTCTGAAATCAGCCATAAAATTGAATTTTTCAGGTTGATGAATATTTTATTAAATTTGTAACAGTCAAGAATTCTACTTATAGCTAGTGCTGCATTTCACTTAACTTATGGGTAATTTATAAATACTGATGCATGATGCATGACATTTCAGAGTAGCAGGCAATTTTATGGTTCTGGTAAGTTATTTCTTATAGGAGACTCATGCATATTGAAAGAAACTTTTCATTTATCAGTTTATCTAAATTAATATGTCACATTCTTTCCTTCACAGGCTGCCAAAATGGCAAATTACGCCAAGTTTCAGAAAATGTGTGATCTCCTGTTTGTTATGTTTGCCATGGTTTTTATCACCACACGACTGGGTATATTTCCTCTTTGGTGAGTTTGCCATTCTTCTTTCTGAGAGAGCCTTCCCTTCCAAATAAGCCCTACAAACCATTTTTCTTTTGAATTTTACTCCAAGTACTTGATGACAGGTTTAAAGATAGTGGGCTCAAGAAACAGCATGATATCTTCTTCCAGAAGAGAGTTGCACTGTTTACTAATATTTTCCACAGGATAGTTGGAGCAGGATTTGGCTTTCATAGATTCTGAAGCCACAGAAAGCCGTCTATCATTTCAGGCACTAGACTAGAGGATGACTTAAGGACCTCAGCCATGAAGGCTTGAATTGAGAAAGGAAACATGGTGTTGCAACCAAGTGTGTGTCAGGGATCTCCTGTTACAGAGTTTCACAAAGGCTTGCCCTCAGACCAGTGGCTGCACCATCATCACCTGAGAACTTGTTAGAAATGCAAATTGTTGGGGCCCACCCCAGACCCACTGACAAACTCCAAAGATGAGGCCTGGCAGTCTGTGTTTTGATAAGTCTTCCTGATGATTCTGCTGCAAGTTAAGATTTGAAAACCACTGTCCTAAATAATTCTCCCCATCAGTGGTATTTACAGCAAAAGCAGATGGAAGGTATACGTCAAAAATAACCCCTGAAATGCTCTATGGCTTCATAATCATATGTCTGGATGTCTTTTCTTTTGCTGAGAGCTAAGAAAAAGATATGTCAAATTTGTGTGGAATTTGACAATCTTTTCTATAAAAATAGGTCCACTGTCAAAATAGGTCCACATCCATTGATGGTAGATCCCCCCACTTTTTGGAAGATTGATTTGAATGGGAAATTCAAGCAAAGAAATTTGGAAGAAGTAGAAAAATGAAGGGATGCAATAATACCTTGACTTGCTGCCCCAATAGAAAAACAGCAATAATAAAGTTGGGACTTTTAAGTGTATAATGTCTATCATTGGGATTCCAGTAATGAATACCAACCACATGTGCACATACACACACGCATGCACAGCTTCCCTTTGAGACTCACAGCCCTTTTGGACACTTATTACAAAGATCATTGCCAAGCGGCAGCACTGTCTATTGGCAACAGCCATTTGTAAAACCTCATTATAATTTAATATGATTGAGGTAGGGAATACAGAAGTAATTTTGAATATAATATTTCCGTAATTTTTTCAGAGTTGGAGCTCTTTCAAGATTATTAGCAGAACTGCTGGTAAGAATTTAAATAGGACTTTAAGCAATACCGAGGAATTTTTCTCAGAAGAGTAATAGAAACTTTTTCAACTTAAGATTTCTGAGAACCCAAGTGTTAAAGAAATAAGCATAAATATCAAGTCCTTTGATTTGCTCACTCCCTTTAGGAGTAGAATTAAAATTGAGATGTGACCCTTCCTTTTCCCTTAGGTTACTGTGTAAAAGCTCTTGTGGTTTAGACAGCAGTGAGTTACCTAGAACGCATAGACCTCAGAAGATACACATTCTGTTCTGCTACCAATAAAATAATTCATAGATATGACCAGTGGTGGTGATATCTACTGGCTACTTAGAAGAATCTTTCTGAGAACCCACGTGTTCTCAGAAAGATTCTCAGCCAAGTATAAAACACCAACTATATTGTAAGTGCAGTAAGGCTCCCGCTACCATGCCTCTTAGTATTGCCAAGGTTTTCAAAAACCAACTTGTGGAAATATTTGATTGCTTGTAATACATGAAATAACTTATATACCTGCTGCCATTGTAGCGCATTTGGGGAATAAAACCCCTTTCATGTATGTCTAATAAGTTTGTTGGTGCCTAGATCTTTATTTTGATCCTGCTTCAATTACTAGAATATAATGAGAATTGTTAGTATTTAATTTTCTAACACAAATGACAACAAAAAAGTATTCTAAATATTTGTGTTAATATTGAAAATTATTTAAAAATTCCTTTTAGACTAGCAATTCCTAGTATTGGGAAAGACCTTTTCAGGCTACTGGCTCTGGAGTCCTCTCTGACTCTTCCTACCTATAATAGGACTTCTTCTATCAACTTCCCTGATCAGAGCAATTGCTTTAGAAGTCAAGAAAAAAAAATAGTTTATTATATAAAATGAAACCTGGGTCCTTGTAACTTCTGTGCTAAGATTCTTAATTTAATTTAGAATCCCCTAAAACTGTATGTAATTTGTGTTTTGGGGTGTGTGTGTGTGTGTGTGTGTGTGTGTGTGTGTGTGTGTGTTTCCTGGGAGGAGAGCCTATGGCTACATCAGATTTCCAAAGAGATCTGTAACCACCTCCCTTCCTCAAAGTAACATGCCTTCTGGAAAAGAGACTATGTATACTCTACTACTTCTCATAGAAAACTCTCAAGAGCATGGAGATTTCTAATATGAATCTTTAGGCTTTTTCTTCTGCAGAAAGCATCTTTAATCCCTCCAACTTTTCCTGCTTGTTGTTCTCCCCAGAATTCCTCTTGTCATGATGTCCCAAATGTGGACTGATTGGTGAAAGATGTAAGAGAGCTTTATTTAACACTGTGCTTCTTCTAACCCAGTGTGCCATACCACTTAATGAGCTTCCTGAGCCACTTTCACATTGTACTGGTCGTATTCTCAAACATATACATGCCAGGTTGAACCTCTTCTGTCCTAAATTGATTTTATTTTTCTGTTTTTTTATTTCTAATTATCATTTATTTTTATACCTAATTATGCAAACTGCATTTATTCCTATTAGATTTCATCATGCTGCTTCTAGATATAATCCTGGCCTAATAGGGTCTTCCGAAGTACACCCAATGTGGTATTTTTCCCTTCCAGCTTTGTGTTACTTGCAGATATGCCTTTCATGCTTCTTCCAACTTAATGAAGAAAAATATTAGCCAAGAGGAACTCTTGGTACAACACTGAAGAATTTCTTTGGGTTGACCATAATTCTCCAACTACTAGTCTTTCAATATGATTTTTCTAACCATTACTATGTCTTCTAATTGCTCTGTCATCATGCCTGCTATTTTCCAACTTTCTAAAAGGTATATAAAAAAAAAAAAACTTTGTGGAAGTAAAAAGTAAAAAAAAAAAAAAAAAGAGAAAAAAAAAGACTATTAAAGCTGAGCACTGTGGCTCACACTTGTAATCCCAATGTTTTGGGAAGCCAGGTGGGAGAAATGCTTGAGCCCAGGGTTTTTAGACCTCCTTGGCCAACAAAGCAAGACCTCATCTCTACAAAAAGAATCAAAAAATTGCCTAGTGTGTTAGCATGTGCCTGTAGTCTCAGCTACTTGGTAGGCTGAAGTAGAAGAATCTCCTGCGTCTAAAAGGTTGAGGCTATAGTGAACCATGATTGTGTCACTGCACTTCAGCCTGGGCGACAGAGTGAGACCCCCCAACTAAAAAAAAAAAGAATATGAGACCAGATTTGAGAAGACCTTTTTTGGCTCCTGGGTCTTCACTTTAAGTACTTTTCTCCATCTGTCAAATTATCTATCTATAGCAGCAACCTTACCAAAGACTAAAATGTCCAATCTTTGTATCTTCCATATTATTTAAGTGTGAACTTTAAAATTCCAATGAAATACCAATTTTTTGTGTGTATTTAGTGAAGATTTATTGGACATTGACTGTGTAACCAGTAATGGGCTGAGTGCTGAGAATTCAATTAGACATAATTGAATTCAATTAGACACTTGCATTTGAATTCCTACAGGTCTCTTTAGTATTCTAGTTTATAGTTTTTTTGGTTGGGGGGAAAGCTAAAGATTATAAATTATTTTCTGACCATTCACTAGACATAAGTATTATCAATATTTAAATAGTTTTGTTGTGTACACTGAGGAGCTCTGATTACCAGAGCATGTTTGTGAAACAGTGACTCACCTGTGGAAGGTAAGGTAATGGAGGTACATTGGACTTTAGTTCTAACAACCATTTCATAGGCCCATTTCTCCTTCAAAGACTTGTGCTTTAAGTGGAAGAAGAGACTAAATTAATACCCATGTTTTCTATTCTTTTTTTTTAAACTTATTTCTTTGGTATCACTAGCAATATCTTCTGGGTTCCTCCTGACTATATTTGCGTTCCCTCATGAGCCATCAGAATGTTTGAAATTGATTGGTTTAATAACACTTGGCTCATTCTCTATTTTATCTCCGATCCATGTTCCTCAAAAACATACACCATGATTAACATTTTCAGAACCAGAACCATATACTGCCCCTCCAGACTCCTTTTGGCCATAATACATCCTTCTGGAACAACACTGTCCATCAGAAATACAATGCAGCCTTCATAGTAATTTAATATTTTCTAGTAGCCACACTAAAAAAGTTTTTTTTAAAGGACTGAAAATGTGATATCCATTTAAATAACATATTTAATCAGTATACTCAAAATAATACCATTTTGATGTATAAATATGTTAAATTAATATTAAAATTATTGAGGTATGTACATTCTTTTATACTAAATCTTTGAAATCTGCTATGTATTTCACCATACCATACATGTCTAGATTTAGTTCGGTTACTTTTCATTTATTTATTTAAAATATGCGTACAATTCAGGATTAGGTATGCAAGTGGTCATCATACAGGTAAAGTTTGGGTCTCCCTTTGGTCCCCACTTTGCCTGGTTTGAGGTCAGGCACTCTTATTAATGTTATATGCCCCGTCTCCTCTGGCAGTTTTCAGCTACTGCCAATTCCTTTCTTGTTAGTATTATGGTGAATATCAGGGTCTGCTTATGAGTGAAAACTTGTGGTACTCAGTAATTTGTTTCTGAGATAAATCACTGAGTATTATAGACTCTAAAACTATCCAAGTTGCTGCGAAGCCCATAATTTTGTTCTTCTTTATGACTGTGTAATATTCCATCATGTATATGTACTACGTTTTTTTATCCAGTCCAGTTCTGATGGGTAGCACAGTAGGTTCCATGATTTTACTATTGTAAATAGTGCTGCAATAAACATGCATGTGCAGGTATCTTTTTTGTAGAGTGATTTAAGTTCCTCCAGGTATATTGCTAGAAGGAGGATCGCTGGGTCATAAAA